TCTCCGTCAACCACCGTACACCACCATACAACACAAGCCACCGATTTCAGTGCCGTAATCCTCCATATTGGTGGATGGTGGAGTCTATCACATATCTGGCGGACATATTTTCAATGGAAAACACTCGATATTAACATAAAGTATTAAATTATTATAATATATCACAGTCTCACGCAAAGCGCCGAAAAAGTGCAGAAAAGAGAAGATACACATCATTAAACACAGGGGAATTCCTGCTGCGCTGTGTGCACAAGTTTCACTTGAGTGGAACTCGCAATGATTACAATAATTTTTTTTTACTTTCTTGCGAACGTTCGTAGGTAAGACGTCTGGCACAACTGGCAGGTATTCTCGGGCAAAACTGCGTTCAGTGGGGCTTTCTGCGCGGCCTGTGTCCGGACGACGACAGTTCTGATGTGGCCGTGTTTCCTGACGGAGCTGCGTGCGTCGAGCCGTGCCTATCATCAAAAGACGGCGGATATAATCGAGGATGTCGACGACCAAAAGCCAAAAGCTGTAACTAGAAGCAGCTGCGCTTTCAATACTTCACCGGAATACCGGCGAGCAGCCATGGTTACTGTGTAAAAGCCACAATAGAGAACCTGTTCAAGCACCGGTGTCTGATCAGACCGAGTTAATTCAACAGTGTCAGCGCTTGTCGGAAGGCGTGTGAGCAAAGAAAAACATGAGCATTTGTGCAATAAGAGGCGCTTTTTATTTTTGTCACAGTGTTCATCCGCGACCAGCGAATGACACTCAAACCTTTCAAGTGAGACAATAGAAATAAAATGCCTTTCTTTCCTTTCCACAGTAGTTAAACGCATACCTCCTACCACTCAGTAATCCAAAGAACGCCCAAAAACGAAATACTGGGGAGGGACACTTCTAGGGGCGAATCTCTTTAAGGCGGGGGTCGGTCGTCCCCGATGCATGTAGTACGTAGCCAGCTCGTTGGAGGATTCGCCGCTACAAGATAGTTGGTGGAATAAACCAATGCAGATATTGTAAAATATATCGCATCTGTACAAGTTTATGATGAACAAGCAAAAGAAAATGTTTTACTTATGCTATGGAGCGCTTTTTAGGGGCGAAGCTTCTTAAGGCGTGGGTCGTGCGTCCGTGACGTATATATAGTAATAGTTGTAGTAATAGTTGTAGTCGTCGTCGTTGCGAAAGGTAGCTCTTTGGTCCTTGGAATGTCCGCTGGATAGCGGTACGTCTATATTGTCGCAGTCCAACGCGAACAAAGCACAGGTACGCCTTGAGACAGCAAAAGCAGCGTGTTATCAACAGCTGAGACTGTTTGTTTGTTTGTTTGCTTGTTTGTTTCCCTTGACTAATGGCTCATACCCACTCAAGAGGATTGGCCAAGAAAGCGTAGTGCAGTTTTTCTGTAATCATTTTAACTATGTGCAATGAATTTGTATTATAGTATGACTAATACAGGGAAAACCACATAAGAAGAGAGTCAACGAGAAAAAAAGTAGAAAAGTCAAGTTGGAAAATTTTGAGATTTCATGTGTTGTGATTACCACTCTGCTGCGTTTACTTTACTTTGCCATTTAGAATATTTTTGGGGGGAGTAATTAATAATTATTATTTGATTGAAGATCACAAAGATATACGCTTGGTTGCCTGAATATAATTGCAAACGGCATTGAAAGCATCCCTGTGGCACTGTTCCAAAACTGAGCCACAAGATTGTCTTCTTTGTCCTCGAGTCAAGCCAGAGGCCCACTACCTGGTGTCCGCTAAATCCCCACATCATCGTTTTCGTCCAGAATATGAGGAAAAAATGGGAGATGGTGGTACTTGGAGTGTTCACTAGATGGATGGACGGACGAAAACAAGCACGAACGGACGGACGAAAGCATGGATGGACTGATGCACGCTTTGCCTCACTCATCATCATTTACTCCATGAATTTGCTGTAATTTTTTTGTTCGTTGTGTCATATAATGCTAAATCTTTACGCTCTTCTTTTGTTACCTAACCTGGTCATTGACATTGTCTTGTCTACCTTGTGTAATGTTGTTCATGTTGAAGCGCCATTTTTATGACAGAAGTTATCAGGATTCTCCATGATCTTGCGAAGTATTACTTTTGCATGTAGGCAGCGTTTCCTTATTTAAGGTGTCACTTGCACTGCGAACAAGCTTCAAGTTTTTGTTTTTGTTTTTTGAAAACTACGCGTTGAATCACCCAATTTTTGTTGGTAGAACACTCGTGTTCCACGAAAGTGCCTGGGTTTGAGCTGATGACAGTTGTATTAGATTGTGCTTTTCGGGCTTTGCCTATGAAGCCAGTTTTCAAGACGCAAGCGTGAAGTCGGACAAGCAAGTGCTCTGTATCAGGTGCAGATGGAACCCTATGCACAACTTGGATAGATTGATATCTGGGCTTTAACGTCTTAAAACCACCATATTATTTCAAGAAACACCATTGTAGAGGGTTCCGGAAATTTCCACCACCCGTGGTTCTTTAAGGTGCGCCCAAATTTGAGCACACGGGTCTACAGCATTTTCACCTCCATCGAAACTGCAGTCGCTCCAGCCGGAATCTGATCCCGCGACCTGCGGGTCAGCAGCCAAGTACACTAGCTACTAGACCACCATGGCTGAAAACGCTGCGCTACTTCGATATTGCTAACAGAGACATTCTAATGCATTTTAAAGGCAATAATTTGAAGGATGGTAATGCAGTTTTCACCCATACGAAACAGAACACTCTTTTTTCCAGGCTGCTTTTTATAAGTTTTCTTCCGAGTCACCGTTTCACATTTCCAAGTACTCGTTACGTCCCATGAGAGACTCGTTCACTGCAGTTTTTTTTTCTTTTCGTATCTGAGAAACTCGGCAGTCTTGTTTAGAAAAACAAGACTGGTTTGTTAGTCCCTCAATTTCTTACTTTACCCTCTTATGACCAAGGAATGCTGGGGATTAAGCTTGGACGCAACATTTTCGTTAGGTTGTCAAAAAGATTATTATGTCGGTCTTTAAACGTGTTTTGCAGAGATTACGCGCGCTTAAGCAGTTTGACAGCAGTGGGCGTAGTTAAAACATAACACTTGTAGTAACAGCAACATAATATCTAAGCTTAACATAAATTAATGTCAATACACAAACAGAAAAATGTGCAAGAACCTTTGAAGCCGAGACGAAGAAATCAAACATGCTGCATACACTGACTGTCGCAATGTCACCGCCCCTGCTGCTGCTGCTGGTCCTGCTGAAGGAGGGAGGACGTTTATATAGTCAAGCTGTAGGTGATCAGGTACACGCGCAGGATCAAGGGCAGAGGCGAGCTGGTAGAATTACTCCAAAAGTCAGGCGATGCACGCCGCTGGAAATTAGGCCGTCTATTTGCAAGCGCAGGGGCACTAGTCCACGTGCTGAAGAATTCCGCTGGCAGGCCACTATTACAAACAAAGGCCTCCTCTATTTTATAAATCCCAGCTATATTCACGCAAACCAGCCATTCAACACCCCCATCTAGCCATTTCCTGCTCTTGCTCATCGCCTACTTTTCACTTGTACTTTGCTGTCGTAGGGAAAGAAAACCTGCATGCAGTATCGCACGACGAAGACGCCGCCCCACAGAATCATGGGGCGGCATCTTTCACTCTTTGTGTTCACAATTTTGGTGGTCACGCTTGGTCTTTAAAAGATACGAAGATTTGAGACGACGTGTCACCGTTCATGGCGCTATGCGGGCAAGCAACGGCGTAGTGTCACTGCAACGCTATGCTCGCGCTGCGCTGTGATTTGACCGTGGCATTGCTTTGAGCCACAAAAAAAGAGCAAGAAGAAACAAATCTTATAGACGTATGGTATTGCAGTGAGAAACAGGTCTATCGCCTCTCTGAAGCACTTGTGACGCTCGTAAGCACGTTGGCGCAAGCAGCGCTACGCACCATGTAGCGTCGCATCACGACCTCTCATTGACTGATTGGTATGTGGGGTTCAGCTTCTCAAAACTACCATATGATCATGAGAGGTGCCGTAGTGGAGGGCTCCGGAAGTTGGACAACCTGGGGTTGAGTAGCGTGCATTCAAATCTAAGCACACGGACATACTGTTTCGCCTTCATTGAAAATGCAGCAGCCGCTTCCGGGAATCGATACCGCGTCCTGTGGGTGAGCAGCTGAGTACATTAGCCGCTAGACCATCGTGGCGGGGCTAACCACTCACTGACTAAGGTGGGTCAACGGCTCCCGTTTGAAAGTGCGCGTCGGCACTGGTATTGATTGAAATAAAAAAGACGTTTCACAACCAAACCTGTGAAGCCGAGACGGAAGAGTCACTCATGCATACACCATCACGCTATCACCGCTAGTACTGCTGAATGAAGCTGCAATCAAACTTAAAGTCAAAATTAGGCTGGCGTAACCGGACTGGAAGACGGTGGTAATGAAGGTATATCCATTACGTAACCGTAAAGTCTCCCGTTGATCTGGGTTAAACGTCGTTGGCGTGAAGCATGAAACAAGACAAAATAAGAGAGACGGACGAGCGCATACTCGCGACTGACTTTTATTGAATGACAGCTCATCTTCTCAAACCCTCACGCATGCGTACAAACACAAGAAAAGCACAAAGAACAATTCATCACAGCCTGTCAAATGAAAAAGCGAACTATCAAATATATACAACAACGGGCACTGATACATTGTTCACCAAATTGCTTAATGTACGTCGCCTCTGCCAGTTCACGTGTGACTTTGTCTTTGCTTCTTCATAAGATACTCATGCTGTTGAGGAACGGTTCACACGAGCACTCTTTACAAAAATACGGTTATTTTCTACTTCCTTCGTCTTCTTTAATGTTTCGCGCCAACGACGTTTTACCAAGCTATGGACCAACTAGCCGGAGAGCATACCTTATTGTCTCGTGTATATCCACGAGTGCACCTAGACATGTCAAGCGGGGCTTCATGAGAATGGAAGCTCCTGTAACACATTTGCGAGTGTATTCCAGTAGCATTGAGATGAAAATAAACATAGTTTTGCATGGTAATATTTATTCTTCATATTTTTGAAGAGTATGGCTCCTTTTATCAGAACATCCAGAAATGACTGGTATTTCTTCTGATTACTTTTAAGTTTCTTTCGCACTCTTTGTTATATACAGGCTTGCTGGGTCTGCCTGTTTGGTTCACGAACTTCTGATACCTTTTAAGGCAAATTCGGGGAGGTCCATCCAGCATACTATCTTTAACAAGAAGCTCATAGTTTGGGGGAACTGGAAATGGAGAAAATTTATCGCGTGTTAGTACCTTTAACACTTCACTACCACCAAAAGGCTCGTAACGTGTAGTTTGCGCTGAATGGGCATGGCGTGAAGATATTGAACGATGTTACACAAAAGCTAAATAAAAACTTAAAAAATATGGCAATCGCGGTCTCTTGTGAAGATATAAAACACTGAGAAGCACTGGCAACCTCTATAAAACAAGTGAGCTACTTATCAAATATAGATTTACCAGGTCATAACTTGCCACTCTGAATGTACACAAGATAGACCTAATGATTTTATGGACACACTCCACATAAGAAGGAACTGTCCGCCTGTCAGGTCATTGTGATGGGATTGGTGGGATGTTGGTATTCTACGTAGGACGTTGGGTTAGTGACGAAAAAGTTCATGACAAAATGGCAAAGCTGCTTCCAGGTTAAAAAAAATCTTTATAAAAAACTTGAAGAAAAAGCAAGCACGCACTTGCACACAGCATACAAAGCAAACAAAGAAGAATAAACTATATTCTTTGAATAAACTATATTATTTGAATAAACTATATTCTAGTTATTGCGTCCTAGCATTAACTGAGTCTCTAAGCGGACACAGGGTCACCAGTTGGGGAGTCGAACACTTTGGATGATGCGATGACGTTGCGCAGAGACGAGGGGTGCAGGCTGGCTTGAAGAGACCACGGCTTGCGCAGGTTGCCAAGTACGCGTGTAGCCTTGGCGAAGGAGGGTGTTGCAGACCCGGAACGTCAACGTCTAGGCTGAGCTCGTCGCACCAACACGTGTACCACGTCTCCGATGTCGCCACTCAGCCAGGACACCCGACCGCGTCGAACGCCAAACGTCTCCCCCTTCCCTCTCTTCCGCACACTGCTCTTTTAGGGGTGAAGCTTCTTAGGCCGTAGGTCGTTCCCTCTTTCGTGTGTAGTATGTAGCCACCTCTATTTCATGACTTGCTCAATAGTTGGCGTTGTGTGTATATGTCCTTGGAAATAATATAACTAGGTGACGTTACCGGTTTTCATAGCAAATTCACGGAGTGAATGATGATGAGTGAGTGAAGCGTCCTTCCGCCCGTCTTTTTGTCCAACCATCCGTGCGTCCATACGTTAGCCCGTTCGTCCAGGAGTACAGCTTCCATCCGTCCGTCAGTCTGTCAGTCTTTCCGTGCTTCTGTCCGTCCGTCTATCTGTCCATTCATCGGTCTGTCCGACCATGCTTCCGTACGTCCATCTGTTCGTCCGTGCTTCTGTATGTCCATCCTAGCGTCAGTGCTTCTGTACGTTCGTCTGTCTGTCAGTCCGAGCTTCCATCCGTCCGTCCGTGCCACCGTCCGGGCTTCAATCCATCCGTGCGTCTGTCCGTCTGTGCATCCATACGTTTATGCGTGAGTCCGTCGGTCCATTCATTCGTCTGTTCTTCCGTCCGCTCATGCGTGCGTCTGTCCATGCGTTAGTCTGTGCGCCCATCCAGACGCGTGACGAATGAACACACAGACGGACATATGCTTCGCCCCACTCACATCAATCACTTCATGGATATGCTGTGATTTTTTCCTCCTCTCTGCCACTGGCCATGTTCATGCTATTTCGCACGAGCATCATCGAGATCGTCTTTTTCTATCCCGCATCGTACCGGAGCACTGTTGATCTTTCACGCGCGCATCACATCACATCATGACTTTTGCCTCATTTGAGTAAGAAGATCGGAAGGCAATAAGCGTTACAACCAATTCACTAAAGCTACAACAACTTGGTGTGTGTAACCATCGTCTCTCTCCCTCTGCCCTTTCAATTAAACACCCACACAAATCCTCACACTGTTTATCACAAGCTCGGCAAAAAATTACCAGCCTACAACAAAGTCTTGATTTCATTATGACTATAGGGAATCACCACAATCGATATACTGGGTTCGCTGCTCAGGCTTCACCTAAAATTTTGTCACTGTCCAGAAACACTTTTGTTGGAAATTATCGCGTGGTTGTGAAGGTAAAGGAGATGACAACCAGATTGTTATTGACTCAGTTATTTAATGATGATGCATGTGTCCACAAATGCAACTAGCCCCTATTGCACAAGCGCGTAACACTCAGTAGAACGGCAGCACCGCGTATAGAATTGTCGTTCGCTTCAAAATCAGATCATCGATGAAACAGGTCATGCTTGTTTCGCAAAAACATGATGAAAGAATCGCAAGTGAACGCGTCAGTTTCACAATAAACTCAACTACTCGCATTGCGTGAGATGTGAAAGTTTAACCCAATTAGGGTTGGCCTGTGCCGACCGGGTAGTTTGTTTTAGCAAGTGGCGCATGATTATGTTAAAAACTTAGCTGATACACGTGTCATAGGAATCGCTAAAACACGAAAGTAAAATGTTTCTTCATAGAGGTTGTTGAACGTTTATTGCACATCGCTTCGCCTCAAGTGCAAAAAGATGAAATTTCTCGCAACTAGTGTATTGTGATGCAAAGAACGACACGCATCTTGAAACTCGCAGCTCACACCTCACGCGTAAAGGTTTCACGAGAGAACTTCACGAGAGAAAAACTATCACAGCTCGACACTCAAAACATCCTGCTCAAACCTAAATAACGCACAAAACGAGTACATAAGTATGTAGAATAGAAGCGTGAACTGACAATAACATCTGGGGTTTTATGTCGCGAAACCACGATATGGGTATAGAAGACGCCGCAGTAGAGGCTTTCAAAAATGTTGACGACTTGGTGTTTTATAACCTCCGCCTGAATATAATTGCACATGCCAGCGCAAAATGACAAGTGCCACAGTTACTTCTTTCTGTCTGAGCGAAACGGTTCTTTCGCAAACGCGGCAAGTGCAGAGAAGCAGGTGACCTTTGTGCTCTCTGGAACTGCTACGCCAGCACAATACGACCAAACCACCGAGGTGCGCGGAGCTATAACCGTTCACGGTTCGTACTGCAAACAATATACGGTTCCTGACCGAGTCATTCGCACCACGCGCAGAGGAGTTAGAGATCGTGTGTTACACATCCAGTGGTGCAGCCTTCCTTCTTTGCCATCTGTTAGTGTACATTTCGTCACTGCGTTGAATTAGTCACGGATGTACGCCAGCAGGGCAATGGTGGAGCTTAGCATAAAAACAAATTTGTGTAAAAAAAGAAGAATACTCGTTATTTTGCGGCTTTCAGGGTTTACCGGCTAAATAGAGTGGTCATTCAGCGAATCTGACACTGACAGTAGCTAGTATGGTTCTCTATATTTTTTATGATTAGCATATACTTCATATAAACTAGTACTCTGTATGCGCGAAGGCATCAAAGATATCTACGATTATTACAATGGGCATTACACGCCACCGAAGTTCAACAACAGCCCTCACCCAGGTTGATACTGTCGCCTAAGGTAACAATGTCTACTCGTAATTTGGTGTGCTTTGCGTCTGCACGTTGATGTTTGACAGCCATTTGTCACTTGGAAATTTTTACGATGTCTGAGCACGCTCTAAAAGGACATTATCGAATATATTTGCATATTTTATTACTGCAATGATAATCTTCTAGAAAAAAGTGTAAGCCTCGTGTGGTCACACAATAATAAAAATATAGTGGTCGTGTAGATAGTAGGAATTCCTCTTTTTTTTCAGTAGCATGGTGAAGTCTAATAAGCTATCACATTTTTCACGGAAGCTGGTGATTTGCCACGAGTGCAACTTACTATCCTACGTGTTACATTACAATACATCTGTTGCAAGAACACATCTGAAGCCCCTTTATACCCGAAGTTATGTTATGAACAATAAACTTTTGACGATAGTTTCTTTTCGTCTCTAAGTAACAACATTCGATCGCTGTAGTCCTATTACGTGTGTCTTAGAGCTGCTTCAAAGAAACAAGGTGTTTTTTATTCTGATAACAGCAGAAGTGCAGTCTACTTCACGATGAAGAATCACTTTACGATTTACAAATACGTCACTCGAGAATGCATAAAAAATGCCTTACATGTGTCATCGTATCTTTCAACCTTATTAACGGCGCACACTCCTGGTATAAAAAACTTAACCTGCTGGCGCGTGTAGCCAGTCAGATCTGCGTGAGAAAAGACAGTGTGGGAGTTAGAGACGTCATTCACGTACAAAGAAGCACGTCGCATAAATCAATTCCAGATCAGAAAAAAATTTTCGCTTGAATGACTGACTGATTGAGCGTTTTTTTTTTTTTGCTTCCGCAGAAGATATCCCACATCATGCATGCTTGTCGAACGTGTAGCTTGAAGGTTAACTGAACCATTGTTCAAATGGTAAGAAACATTCAAGATAGTGAGTGAAACATATAATTAACAGGGATTGTTGAAGAGTTATGTGGTTCAATTATACTTAAGGAAAAACACGCGCGCTACTGACAGTATGATGGAGAAGAGAAGAAACGAACTGGCAAACGTGGTTTGCGAACTCAAGACTGTTTAGTCACAGAAACCACGTCAATATATAGCGGCTGTGAAACAAGGTAATCTCAACAGAAACAGACACATCGCAAAATAAAGAAATCATTATGAGCCGCTTAGGCAGAATCGGGCCTGGGCCGGGAACACCATTAAAGAAAACTGTAAAACACGCTGGTGCTCATAAGTAGTATCAACCATCATCACAATCATCATCATCATCATCAGCCCGACTACGTTCACTGCAGGACAAAGGCCTCTCCCATGTTCCGCCAGTTAACCCGGTCCTGTGCTTGCTGCTGCCAATTTATACCCGCAAACTTCTTAATCTCACCGGCCCACCTAGCCTTCTGTCTCCCCCTAACCCGCTTGCCTTCTCTTGGAACCATGGGGTACCGAAAAATTGGCTGCACCAATCTGAACTTAAAAATGAATACACAGGCTATCTTAAAAAAGACGTGGCTGATTGATATAACAGGAAACAGGTATAAGAGGAATTGGTATAACACGACAGTGAAACATGTCTTCTCGGGGCTGTTAGGCGTTTATTGTGCATTGCTTCAGCGACAGCGGCAAATTGCAAAGTTCCTTTAGGAATGGCAAACAGCTCAAAACTTGCAGCGCTCACCTAAAGCAGGATGCACGCGCAAAACAGGACGAGAGTGGACCAACACGCACGCGTAAACAGGATGAGAGTGGACCAACAGCTGTGACAGCTCGACATTAAAGCACGCTCTTCAAGCATAAAGAAATGCGTGCGAAACAAGCGCACAAGTATACACAGGACAAGCGTGAACACCTATTACAATTTGTCTTGCGTCGTGTCTTGAAAGCTTGCGTCATTCGTAAACGTGGCCGTGAGAGCCTATGCAGTCACCTTCCTGCTCTCCCGAATACGAGTCTGATAAGCGCGTGCGCAGGAGAAGCCACGATCCGTGGAGGCGGCGCTTCGTGGAGGCAACAACCTTTAGGCCGCGTTCACACTGAGCCTTCCGGCCGCCGAAAGTGCTCCGAATCCGGTTCGGCGGCAGCGAGATCCGCCGAAAGGGCCCTCTCCGCGCCGATCGCTCTCGGACCGATTTTTGCGGCGTCTGCCGCCGAATCGGTAACCGCGGACCAATAGGAGCGCTAGTCAAGGAATTTTGAAAAATGGCGGCAAAGCCCTACTCACTTGTTATGGCGCAGTGCACGTAACTGAATGTTGAAACTAACGGGAGTTTAACCTACTCTGTGCCTACTTTGCGTCCGTATTTCGTGGAAGAGGTGACCGAGCTTGCTGTTGGCGTGACCGAGCTTGTTGCGGTCTTGCAGAGCAAAACGAACCCACCAACGCCGCTGGTGTCGGTGGTTTTTCTGCTCTTAGTGCATTACAAGACAGCCACTTGCCAGCAAAGTAAGCAGTACTGTCTTTTCTTGTTTCTTGCGTACGAGAATCGTCGAAGTATACACCACCGGATAGCGGGGTAGCGTTTGCGAACCGCGATTTAGAGTGCGCCTACCGAGATCTTCTCGTGCTATCTCGCCGTGCACTGGTAACGAAAACGCGCTAAAGATTTTTAACCTGTGAGGACTGCGAAAACAGTGTATGACGTATATGAACTGCTTGCCGTAAGCTCTCCTGACAGCGTATGCTCTGTGGTTTAGTGGATAGTGTCGTGCGCTGAGAGGTTGCTGGTTCGGTTCCGTGCGACACGTGCTTGTTTTATCTTCGCAATTTCTTGTAAATATTTCCAACGTGACCCACGTACTTCCATGACGGAAGTACGTGGGTGAGGCCATGGTGGACCCTGGCATAGAACACAATTGTGATAAATGCCGTAGACCTTCTTTTTTTAGGAATCGCTATTACACAGTAGTAAAACGTGTCTTCGCAGCGGTAGTTGAGCGCTTATTGTTCAATATTTCACCACAATGACGACGGAATAAATGCTACAGCAACAAATTGCAAAGTCACGCGAAGGATGGCAAAGAGCTCGAAACTTGCATTGCAATCTCACTTTCAAAGGACGCACAAAATGAGTATGCACAAGAATAACAAGAACAACTGTCACAGCTTGACACGTAAAGCGCGCATTTCAAACAAAGACACACGGAAGGATCACAGAAAATACACAGGACAAGCGTACACAACTGTCACAATTCTTCCATCTTCGTGTCTCAGCAGCGTGCTCATTTCTCAAAGGTGACTGGCAGCGAGTTGAGTGACTTTCGTGCACTCCGAAACACGAGTATGATAAGCGCGCGTAGAGGGAAGACAATGTTCCGTGGAGGCGGTGATCTCCGAGATGCGAGAGACAAAGACCTTTAGAGCGGGGTCAATGCGCGCCCTTGGCGCCATTTCACCACTGATGACAAAAACGCGCTGAAGTGTAGAAGGTCCGACGACCGCCGAATGGTTGGTGTATGGTGTATAAATGGCTTGCCGTTCCGCTCCATGGTGCGGACACGTCCCACTCGGCAGAGCGTGGTGCTGCGGACTGCGAGGTCTCTGGTTCGACGCACCGCGACAGAACATTTTCTTCTTTTTTTCTTTCTTATTTGTTATCATATATTTTACAACGCCATATCCGCGACGGAAATACGTCAGCGCAGCCGTGGGCAACGCAGCCTTAAACACTTTTGTGCTAACAAAAAGTCGCTTCTTTTTCAGCCAGATCTGGTGATGGGGCATTAACACACTGGCTACCTGCTTTTTCAATCAAGAACGCCGTAATTTCTTTTCTTTTTCTATGTAGTTGTTTGCTTTCCTTTTTGGCTGAAGAGTGGCGCACAGCCACAGCGCTTGCAGTGATTTGCCAAGTGCACACAGATGCTGCAGCTGACCGCCAAGCAACGCTCCCTCACCCGTTCGTTGAAACACTGGCCAAACAGGCCGGTTTTTCAACGAACGCGCGAGGGTTATACAAAGAACGTACACAAATAGTACTTGAGATATGAGCAGAGGACAAAATGGCTGCTTGCTGAACACAGCATCCTGAAAGTGAATGCAAGGTGTAATAAATTCACCACTTCAAATTTTAAGCTTCAAAACTGCTGATGGCATGGAAAATTTTATTAATAATATAATATTATACCCATCTTTCCTAAAAGATGGGTTCATGAGGAGACGGAAGCATAAACTATGAGACAAATGCATAAGACATATGCATACATCGAATGCGTTACAAATATGGCAATTTCACGCGTTGTTTTAGTCCTACTGTACTATTCGCTGATCGCTGTCCATTATTCATCAGTTATTATGGTGCTCCGGCACAAATGTTTTTTATACAAAAGTGCCTAATGCCAGATTTTGCTAGCACTTCAATGACTTATTTATGTCACGAATATGACTTTCATCATCAAATCCACGAAATGAAGAATAATGAGTGGGCCTAGCTAGAGAGGGGAAAGTCATCGGCAAACCGTAACTTTCCCGTGAAAAGCTAGCCCACTACATCAATAGAAATACGTTAGACTGTGCGTATATCATACAAATCAACTTTCAATTTGTTCTTGTTCGTTTCTGTTTTAGTTTATTCATTTGTTATTTTCATTTGTTTTGTCATGGTGGCTCGATGGCAAGGATTCTTCATTATTACGGCTTTATTGTCCGTGAAATGAAGTGGCAGAGGTTCTTGTACTGGCTGGAGCAAGAAGTTTGCGAAGACTAAGTTTATGCACGTCCCTCGGATCGTGGTAAGTTGCATATAGATACATCTGGGTGCGTATTTCGAAAGCATGTGCTGCTCGACGCAGCTATTTGCAATGAAGTCCATGCGTTCATGCATCCGTCCGTGCATTCTTCCGTCCATCCATCTGTTCGTGCACCCGTTTATGCCATCCGTTCATCCGTCTGTTTGTCTGTCTGTTTGTCTGTCTGTCTGTCTGTCTGTCTGTCTGTCTGTCTGTCTGTCTGTCTGTACATCATCCGTATGTGTGTATGTCTGTCTGTCTGTCCGTCCGTCCTTTCGTTCGTCCTTCTGTCTGTCTGTCTGTCTGTCTGTCTGTCACTCACACCAGCGGCACCTGCTCAGTGAGTCATACAACTAGCTGGTTACGAGCCGGTCACAAGACACATCCATGGACACTCCCACGGCTTTAGAGGCTTCGTACCTGAAAGTCATAGCTCCTGGCGATCTGGTGATAGCTAAAGATAGTTGTCCGTTGCTTTACCTACAATGCTACCGATGCACATGTAGAAGAGTCAACATTCGCGCGTTAAATCTATCACACATTCCACCTCTCACGCTGCTTTTGGTTTGGTGGTTAGGTGGTGCGGGGCGGGGTGATGTTGCCGTCTGTAAACGTGGAAGGTATTTCATCTTAACACTAACGAGCACCAATGGAGAGTGTTTCAGTAACAACGAAGTTACGCTGTATCGATTCCAGCGTAAACGCTAGCAATGCTGGCATTGCACGGAGTAGCCCTAGACCCTGTCATGTCGATTGCTTTTCACTTCGTGTCAGTGTGTGATGGCTCGTTAATCGGCAGTAGTGCAGCTTTCACCTGAATCAGCGGTGATGGCTCGCAGCCTAGTTATTTGATCGCGACCGCACAGAATAATAAAACTGCGGTAATAAGCCGCACAAAAAGGCAGCGATGTGGGATCTGGAACACTTTGCGCGTTCATGACCCTAGCTACGAGCCTCAGCCCCCAGTTTTTTTTTATTTTTTAGCGCAGCATGGCAATGAATGCTTGAGCGCATACGTTGGCTAACATATGTCACCTTATTGCAAGCGTGCACTTTCACGTTTCTGTCCTTGACTGAATGAACCTAAAACCGAGTAAATGGAACACACGAGTTCTTTACGTGCTTTTCGATGCCATCTTTCTACGGGACTCAAGGTATAATTTAAAAGCATATTTGCAACAACTTCAGTTCTTAAAAGGGTTAAATCATGATTGTGGGCATTAACCGTCAGTATGGGGACTGTTCCACTAAGCAGCAACGTTCCTGCATCCAAGTCAGATGGTGCAATAGCTGCCAAACATCAATAGGCATTATACATGTCCTAATATAACGACGCCACATTCACCAATGCACTCAGTATGTGAAAAAAGGTGCAGTTTTCACTTAATACGGCCTCTCATGATGAAGCGATTAGCTATGTTTTATCACAGTTGTTTAAAGCAAAAAAATTGATTGTGATTTGTCATCTTTTAGACGCCTCTTGTTGGTGTCGTTGAGCTCACTAAATATGTTCTTCAATGGTCTCCATTTTTCTGTGAATGCAGTTAATGCTCCATGCTTTCCTAGCGGCCCAACTATTCTCTACATTTCAAGCATTGGTGATGAGGTCCATGTTCACAAAGATCCACTATGTATGAGGATCATTAAAGAAGCAAAGGTGATTTTGCCCCGAAACTAACTATTCGCCATTGAAAGTTTCTACTGCTGGTATAGTTTTATTCTAGTTCACATTTCTGCACATTCAATATGAACATACAATCATATTTTTCACACCCACACCGACACCACTTGCTTCAGCTTTACTGCATAGACGTTCACCTGAAAATTTATAGCTGTTTGAGTTGGTCGGTGAGCTCTTCTGGTGTCAAGCTTGGACGCACTTTTTGAATTTTAAGCTTTTCACCTACGGTGTTGTCAATTCTAGAGGTTTTAACAAAAGTAATTCAATCCGACGGACTACGAATTGCGAGTCGTTCATCTAATTGCAATTGTCAGCGCATTTGTTGAACAGTTTCAGGGGTCTTGATGTTAAGCATGCCACTTCACTCTCCATCGTGTAAATCATGTGAAGATTTGTTAAGTGTCAGCTCCATCTTCTGATCTTTGCTTCACTGATCACTGTAGGTACAAAGACAAAGCCCTTCTTTGAATGAATTTGATAAGCTGATGAAGCTTTTGCCTGAAAAATTGTCTTACAGCCCCCACTTCCTTATCATGCGCGAGCAACGATTCCTTCCACAGTTTCACCTCATTGACCGTCGAGTTGGTTGGTTGGTAAGAATTTTATTGGAACGTTTGGCAGAGCTTCAGACGGACTACTTTTAACCGGAAAAATAATTTCAGCATCTTGCTGTAGAATGAACAGATGGCCCGCACAAATGAATCTCTATTAAGACTCTTAAAGACTTCAATAATGACAAACTGTCCTTACTTATTAAGTCATTCAGGTACATTCTGCAAAGTTATTTACACTACCGACAGGTTATGTAAAACTTCCACTATCCCCTCCCACACCTGAAAAAAAAAGAGACCTAACACTTTCTCTCTCAGACTTCTGGAAACCCGTGTTTGTCTTCAGTTTGGTTTTATAGTAGGTAAACTATCATCACTCACAGCCTTGCCCCAATACGGCCATTAATCATGCTCTTTCGATCACATGATGTGGCTATGCCTAGCCCTAACGTTTGTCCACACATTCGGAGGAGCATTGGAGAAATCCTGCACGAGCACGACTGTTCGCACTCAAAAACACGGACCACCCCATGGGCCCACCACATCATGGCGCTTCTTCAACTTCCGCGCATACCTTTTGTGTAGCCACTTACTTTTTCAAGGCCTGGCCTCCGACTCATCTGGGCCTCAGTTGCACGAGACTCAAAATGCCGTGCATGTTGTGGACAACTTCCAAACTCATTTTCTCTGTTTCCACGTGGGAAAGATTACTCAGAACTGCCATGTTAAGGCTTCCTGACAGGCAAGTACCTAAAACATTTTATCTAGCTTCATAAACAGTGGCGGCTGTTTGAGCCACGACTGCTGCGTAATAATCCTTGAATATTAGAATCAGCAAAATCTTCGTGGCCAGACCAGCTTATCTTGCAAAACACTGCTCGCTAGCTATACTTTGATTTCAGCGTATCTTTCTAATTAGCTCTTTATACTTGAGGAAGTGCGTTCAAATGCTTGGAATGCTTTTGTTAACACTGGCGATTTTCGTGCAATGGCTTTAGTGCTACCCAGAGCTCAGAGTTACTTGACCAACACTTCTTTTATATGGCCACAATACGAACACATCAATATACGTAAGCAACGGTCTAAGCCAAGATTGGTAATCTTCCTCTAACAGCTCCTGTTCTTTGCACTATGGCATCGAGTGCGTGAAAAAGACTGCTATGTTAACCTGCTTACGTCCTGCGAAAAATGCGGCCGAAACAACTACAAACTATTCAAAAATTACTCCCGTAGGTATTCGTACACCCTTTTTTTTTCACCGGACGTGGACCAAAGCTACCTATTTGGTATTAGCTTCACATTGGCACCATATAAAAGTAATGTAATTAACGCAACACTCTTCATCTCTGCAGTATCTTCATAAGCATAATAAATCTCAAAAAGTACGTTTGAATAATTCTCCTCACGTGTTCACTGAAAAAAATATGTCGCAATCACGTACCAAACAGCCTGTAATGACTTCAAGCGCAACAATTACGTATTATAGATATCTCAATTTCACAGATTTTGGGCGAAACTGACCCTCATTTTTGCAGTCTCTTATTATCAGGTGACACGTAATTTTGCTGCTCTGTGATTGGAAGCTCCGATAATAAAATTTCTTCTTTATGTTTTCTTTTTTTTGAAGGAGCAGTTCTATCGGGCGATAACCTATTCTTTCCTAAATTTTTCAGACAACAGACAAAACACGGAGAGTTGCAAACTTCTAACTTAATTTAACATCGAAACAATGCATATTTGTATATGGCATCGTGAAACACCAATATGGTAAGTGAGCAATACGACAGCGGACATCTGCTACTCCCTCACACCAGATGTAGTCAGCGCGCGCTGTCATACTGCGCACATATGATATTGGTGTTTGGTTAAGGCACAAGTTTTGCACACCAAAATAGACCAAGTTGCTTTGGAATTACATATGCATCATTCGCACAATAAATTTATTTGGAAGTTTGCGCGCTTCGTGTTTCCTTGTTTTCCTAAAAAATGGCGCCAGAACTAGGTGATCCTGTAGTACCAGCTAGCTACAAACCCAAACCTTGTTAAACTACCCTAGTAATCGAGTCAATGCTCGTAAACTTCTTGCAGTGGCGCAGCAGAAGCCATATTTTTCTGTCCCAACTGTAAGCTTTTCAGCACGGTTCGATTCGGCAACAAAACATACGTGGAGCTATGTGCTATATTCATTCCGAACTTGAAGTTTTATACTTGCAGTCAGTAATGAACATGACATTCCAGGGCCTCCCACTGAGGTCGTAGCTCTGATAAGTATGTCCTATGCGAATGCCAGACATGATGCTGCGCAGAAGAAAAAGAAAGCATAAAGTTTGGTGAATGTACACCGGTGAGTTGAATGAATGAGTTCTTACATGCCCGTTTTCTCGATTGTGGACCGGTTAAAGTAAATGTCTCTTCCACTTTTGTTTATGGCAACGTCCACTTTGCAACTGTATGAGAAATTCAGGGTCGCATTGTATGTCCAGGTTCTCGGAGGATTCAACATAAACTGAAATACAGAAAAAAGAAACGCCCTTATGCAATCTATTCACCTTATCCGATGTGAGCAGTTTTGGGTGAAACCGGCAAATATATCAAGTGGTGCGAGACAAACGCGTCCTATGAGATTGTAAACCTCAAAGCCCGTTAATGTAGTGAGAATCTCTCTACAGTACACGGCGGTATAATTAACGTTACATAAAGACAGGAGCGAGAAAGAGTAAACGTCACGTCCAAGAGTGAAATGTACCGAAAGACGCAATTATAACATAGAAGTGTTATATGCTGGGGTCCACTACGGCTCCTTGACGTAATTCCGTCACAGATATGACGTTATAATTTTTTTGTTAACAGACTCCAAGGGAGAAAAACAAGAAGGAACAGTTCCGCAGCGGGCCCTCGAACCATGCCATCCCGCTCTTCAGCGCACCCCGCTAAACACTGCACCTCAGAACGACTTTGAGCCAAGCTTAACAGTGAGCTATTAAATTAAGACAATGCGCGTTATTACGATTAGGATATAGTTTATTGATATAATATAAAGGATGTTGGCACACTTGAAAAGCGCCGACTACTCTTTACCTTGGAGTGAATATTGAACACACATGTTAAAGGAAAAAATAAAGAGAAGTACATAGAAAATAGGACACCCGATTACACATATGTAAAAAAATACTGATGCACACATATCAAACAACACCAATAAAATGACAAGAACGAAAGTCGATGAATAATGACCCTGCTAATGTTTCTTCTCTAGTTAACATTGAGTCCAACATGCACAAAATTCATACATAAGAACTTCTTGTCAGATAAAAGCGACTAGTTGACGTCACTTGTAACTTACAATTTGAACTACAATAATGGTTATTCATCTGTCGGGAACTTCTGTTGAATTTGCTCGTGTAGTACGTGATTAATAAATAGAAAATATGTGCGCTTACTCTGAGAACTTTACGAAAGGGGTGTACTTTAAGTACTGCCGTACATGCTTTTGTGACCTAATACGATGTAAATCAATGCACAGACTAACGGACTATCAGATGAATTAGAAAAAAAGCGACTTCAGCAGCGTACTGATGCACTTTTAATGAATAATGCCTGATGCGTAGAGTCAGAGATATCATTATATTCCACAAATAAAATCATATTTAGGTGTTCTATTTTTAAGTACACCCCAAAGTTCAACAACGTGATGGGCAGAATACTCGCTTTTGACGGTCAGCTCATTGCGCAAACGGGAATTGAACAATTTTTCGTATACTGCCAAAACACAGCTCAGATGGTGAGAGCGAGACGTGCCAAATCTCCCTATCATTCTTTTATATTTTTTTAAACTTTCGCATATCGATTGCGTAAATTGAGGATGCCTTCTTGCTGACACAAGCACAAGACATTTTCCTTGATTATAGTGAACGCTGACATGCTCAACATCTATTGCAGAAGCGAACAAGCGCATCAGCTTCTCTCGCGCTTCTATCGAATTGATAGTATCAGAGTGAGTATTATTGTTTCAATAAAAATCGTTAGGCTTTCCACGAAATTATGGGTGGAGTCAAAATTCACGGAGAAGGCTAATATAACTACAATTTTTTCGCGATTGCCTTACAATGCAAAGGGTAGTGTTAACAATACTCTACTATTTATGAATCAAATCTCCTGATATGTGTGAAAGTTACTTGTGATGGTCGACGCCAATATTATAGCTGCGGGTGGCTTTTCTTTAGTAAAGTTCCGTGCTAACACAATGTGAACCGTTGATTGCAATTGTCACAAAAGACGTAAAGAGGTAACTAAACAGCACTATAGAAACACATCGCTTGTAATACCACGGGTAAAACTACCAAGAACATGCTCATTGTAAAATATAGGACGCAAGTTATGATGATCAACAGATTTGCGCTCTTTGCATGGCAACAGGATTGAATCTGTCCTAGCGCTTGCTGAGATATACACACCTTTGTTTAAGAAACGGTACAAGACAAGAGACCACACTCGCAGGAAAGAGACAAACCTCCGAATTAAGAATGCCTAGCAAGATGAAATAATGCGAGCTTGCATCACGTGTGCGGGTAAGTAAGACAGGTGCGTTTTTTACCTCTCGTATGTCTGGGTAAGTGGCTGATGCTGGTTTCTGAAGAACACAAAGTTGCATCGCCAAAAGTTTCAGCAACAAGAATCGTCCTTGGATATACATAATGTTGTTTTCGAAAGTAGTTTGTCTACAGTTCTGCCAACGTTTGGTGTTAGCTCTTTACTGGCTGCACTACTCCTTTTTCGAGTATAGTCGGGGTATATAAGTACAACGCAGTTATCATTGCCACTACGCCGAGGGAGGCATTTGCTTAAGCTCACTTTCGCTTTTAAAACTATATAGATAGATTATCCATTGTACCAAATACTCTGATTGGGGGCCTAATATCACCTTCAAATTATTTAGTTTATGATAAGGCTTAGTTAATGATCCTCTATAGTTCAAAGAGAGGTGTGAACACCGTTATTAAAATACTCCTCTCAGCTTCAGGCAAGATTCACCGTTTTATTTTTTGGAGCAATTGTGCTAGAGAAGAGAAAAAGTAAGCCGACCTCTGCTAACCATTTCTAAAGCAACGAACTATTCAAGCTATAGGTTTCTGTCTACGTATCTTCCTATGTGTGTCACTGACATCTGTCAGTGTACATGCCATTCACCTTAGTATTACTGCAGGAAATATATAAGTGGGAGAAATTCACCCGCAAATTTTAGAACTTCATTGCTTGAAGCGAAGCGCAACACGCCTTCATCAATGAAGACGTTTGTTCGCCGCGGCACCGGAATTCGGAAGCGAGCATCTGCGATGCCACACTTTTTCATTATAGAACGCATGTAGTGCTTATGGCGTTAGGAGTTTGATTTCGAGATCATGGTTTAGATTCCAGCTTCGGCGGACCAATTTTGGTGAAGGCGAAATGGCAGAGGCCTGCGCACGTCTAGATATGATGAAAAAAGTCACAGAATAAATTATGTGGATGTTTCCCTACTTCACGAAAATTATGATATATAGCATAGTGAATACCTCCTAAGTTTGCTTGTAATAGTTAGCTTCCTGCCTTTTATCTTGTTCTTGTCCTTGTTATCAAGGAAGCCTAGAAGGCCCCTGTTGTTCATTTCCTCAGGACCACAAAATATTCTCTTTCTCTTGTACATCAACTTATATAAGATAGCGTGGCCGAAGAGTAAAATAATGGACCCGTGTCACAAATACCAACTACCTAACTAGCGAATTGTTGAAAATTAAAACGAGGTCCTCCAACCTAATTATCCATTGTCATCAGCCACCGCGTCAACAAACTGCACATAATGCCTTGAAAGCGGTCACCTCGCTTCTCCGTATACTGGCGAATAGTGGCACATAGTGGGTCATTTTCAACTTAACAAAACTGCGATTGCTTGACTAGTGAGTACCCTGTGACTGTATTTGCATCAGTAGTTCCAAGATAGCTTGCAACCGACTCTAGAAATGCCACTCTCCTAACTTTCACTGTGAGAGCACCATGCTTTGCGTGCAGGCATTGTGCTCTTGTTTTCTTTCTGATACATCTATCAAGTAGAGCCACGTGCTTTACTAAAGCGCCACCAATCGCACCTGCTTCAATCTCGTTGAATACATACACCCTGTGCTACTCAAAATAAGTAAGTGCTGGGTCTTGCTATATTTGGTCTACCAGGTTGAGCAACTCTATATAGTTGATTTAGAAAGTGAGGCTAGTTGGTATCCAGCATAATAGAACGTAATTGCTGCCATACGACAAGATGGCGAAAAGAAGAAAAGCCCGGAAAACCTATTTTCTTTGGGATGTGTTTCTGTTTCTCGTCCCGAGCTCGTATGTCATTTATCATTTCTTACTACGGAGCTCATGTATATTTATACGTCTACTCAGGTATTGATGACATACTTCATGTAAGTATACTCAATAATTGTTTGTGGCTTAATCTGATCAAAAGCTTTTCCAGGGATGGATGCTCAAGACTGTATCTCTACCTTATATTTATTGTTTTTGTGAAGGGGGTTTAAAAGTCATGAGAAAATTAGTGTGGTGAAGCACCTTCTATTCGTTCGTTCGTACGCTCGGACGGACGGTGTCTAAAAATCATAAAAAACCTCGGTGACACGATCGCGGCTTGTACTAATTTTGGGGTGATACAAATTTTTCTGTGGTCGTGGCAAAGGCTTATTATTATCCTGCAGTGGAATTAGGGATGTTGTCGCGAAACATTTTATCCCCATGACACTTGATACCATTGTTCGCTGTCGCGCAGATCTGAACAGGGACCGCCCGCGCTGTCACTGAAGACGCGGCAGTTATGCGTAGGGGCATGCGCTCTGTAATGCCATTTGCCATGCAAGAGCAGCTGTTGAGGACTCCGATTTCGTGGGCATGAATGTTCTAGGCCTTAATGCACCTTCATGTGCATTCATATTTCTAATACAAATGGCATTGATGTCACGTTTTTTTTCGATCTTTCTCTCTCTTAATCTCTCTAACACGTAAAAGCGTGCTTTCGCGCTCGTGGTAGCGTCGTTGCACTTTGTTTACAGGCGCCAACCACATCACAGTCAGACATCCTATGATAGTAGGACAAGGAACGAAGAAAAAAGTGAACAGTTTTGGCGAATGATCTCGGCCTCGCTAAGTCCACTTGCTGAATTGTTCGGGATGCGCACACCTGCCAACTCTCCGATTTGTACACGTGAATTTCCGAATTTCTAGAAAGCCTCCGGCTTACGCAGCCACAGCTTTAACTCAGCTAGACATCAGCTATTCCACGGTGATGAGAAGATAATAAAGAGAAAGGACAGCGGCTCTGAATTGTCCTGACCTTAATCTATCCCGTGAAACGTGCTCTTTAAATGACTTTCGCCACAGTAGTCGGCTATGATGCGGAAAAAACGTACTAAGATTGGGAAGGAGCAATAATCTGTATCGTCGTGTCGCGGTACATATAGTTCATTCATTACACGCGCACGCAAGCGCCATTTATTCATGAGTGCAACATGGCTGCCGACGTCTAAAAGCTTTTTTAATAACTATTCGAAGCTGCTCATGACAATGATGCTGCCCTGGGAAACAATGAATGAAAATGTACGCCAGCTTTATTTTGATGCATACTAATTTTTCATGTTTTCTGGTGGGACGAAATTCAGATAATACGAATATTCTTGGTCATCCCAAAATCTTCGTATCACCGAAGTTTCACTGTAAATCAGTGCACGTTGTTCTTGCTCTTTGCACTCATATACACTCTTCATAAGTATTGCATCATAATGTCAGTAGTGAAACAACCCATTTTGGTGTCGCTACTGCTTTGTTTTCTAGGAAAATTCAAATTGACACCTCGTTCCTGTGAGTACAATACGCGCCATGACAACGCACTTTTATTTCTGGCTCTTGAGACCCAAATATACTGGGTATATATGCCTATAAAAGTTGTTTGAGACCGAGTTATTGTGATCCGGCGAGGGCTCAACTAGAACGCATACGTTTCTCTTCAATAGTAAAAGTTTTGGTGTCTATTCATAGTGTAATATTGATTTTCAATTATTGACTACTTCACACAGAAACACCTCAACTTACCTGACGCTCCAGGGGTTAGGTAGAGAGATTGCTTTACAGACGAGGAATACATTGAAGTATCTTAGATGCGAAGCTTCTAAGCGAACTTTATCTTGTGGCATCTGTGCTCCACCGTGCATGCGCGTCCTCTGCTCCTCCCCTATACGCTCCCATTCTTCCTCTTTTGGCATCCCTCCCTCTGGAGTTTACATCCCCATTGAGCATGCATGTCCCCTCCTCTTTCTCTCCTGTCCTGCGCTCCCCCATCTCTCGGCTCGCAACGCCAACGCAGGCAGCGTCTCGTAGCGTTTGTTAAAGGCGATAGTCTTTCTTGGGGTACTTCGACGCAAGAATATTTGTCTCTCTCTCTTTCTGTCTATCTGTACATTATCTGTTTGTCCGTCGTAACGAGACTCCGAACGGCCCCTCCTTATAAGCTCCCACACTTCCTCTTTTGGCGTCTCTCATTCTGCTGTTACATCCCCATCGCGCATGCACGTTCCCTCCTTTTTCAGGCTTCTGTCCTGCGCTCCTCCTCTCTTGGCTCGCACTGTCAACACAGGCAGCGTCTCGTAACGAGTTTAAAAGACGATGGTCTTTCTTGGGGTACTTCGACGCAAAAATTTTCGTCTGTCTATTTGTCTCTCTGTCGGAACATTTGTCTGTCTGCCGCAACGATACCGATACCCAACGTGGCACCAAGTGACACCCCAAACGGCCAAAGCCAGCCACAGCGCCCACCAATATTGCTCAAGTTCCAGTGTTCATACTTGTGCAATCGTAAATAAAAAGCAATTATTGCGCATATTTGAGGCATCATAAAAACACGTCAATATTTTTTTTTGTGTGTCTTTTTACTAGAGGAGGCATACATAAGTATTTCTAATGACCATAGCGTTCATCACGCTGCGCTGAAATTGCAACGCGATACTCAACATGGCAATTGTTTCCAACGCTTCACTAGAGTGTACTAGAAGCTTTTGAGTGGCGCGAGCAGATGCCTGGGAGCGGCCGTTTCGGCGTGGAATGATGCGGTGGCGCTGGCGTCGACCAATCTTCCCGGGCGGATGGCTGGCAGGCGTTCCGCGTACGTGTTGGTACCCCTCTGTCGCGCCTGAAGATGATCTCCCTCTTTTTTTTTTCTTATTCACATACCTCCCCTTTTTCGCGCAAATAAAGGTTATTTGACATTATTGTTATTGAAGTTGCTGAGGACCGCACTGCAGCCCAAAGCAGCATAGCACATTGTACAATATAACGAGTGCGTTGTTTTTTTTAATTTTTAAAGTGTACACATTTTAGACGAGAAACCAGCTGGCCGGTACACACCGGAAGCGCCCCCCTCCAAAAAAAAGGGATATGGTGCACACAAGCGAAGAACTCTTGGTCATTCCACGTAAACACCAAAGCTGGACTCAAATAAAAGGCTCATCGCTTGTGGCTGCGTGCACACACGACAAAAAAGTAGGCTTTATTGATAATATTTGAAGAACAGCAGAGTTTTTCCAAACATCCCTTTGGTTTTAAAATATGGGAAAAGATTCATTGCTGTAGGACCCACAGAAATGCAAATACGTAATACTGCAAAAGAATGTCTTTGGTGAAACAGAGTAGTCGAAGACTTTGAGAGTTTAAAAAACGCAACGACACTGCAAGCAAAGTCGTAACTAATGTTAATCATAATTGATAACACAA